GAGGTGTAAGACAGGGTGACGTTATATCCCCGAAACTCTTCACCGCTGCATTGGAAGACGTTTTCAAGCTACTGGACTGGAAAGGATACGGTATTGACATCAATGGCGAGTACATCACTCACCTTCGATTTGCCGACGATATAGTCCTTATGGCAGAATCGCTGGAGGACTTAAGCACTATGCTCAATGACCTCAATAGTGCCTCCCAACGGATAGGTCTTAAGATGAACATGGACAAAACAAAGATCATGTTCAATGTCCATGTCACACCTATGCCGGTAGTTGTTGGGAGCACTATGCTCGAAGTTGTTGACGAATACGTTTACCTGGGACAAATAGTCCGACTAGGTAAGTCCAACTTCGACCGAGAGGTCAATCGACGGATTCAACTCGGCTGGGCAGCGTTCGGGAAATTACGGCATATCTTTTCGTCAGGTATACCTCAATCTCTAAAAACTAGATTGTACAACCAGTGCGTGTTGCCAGTGATGACTTACGGATCTGAGACGTGGTCCTTCACTGCTGGCCGTATGAGGACGCTTAAGGTCGCTCAGCGAGCTATGGAGAGGGCTATGCTCGGAGTTTCTCTGCGTGATAGACTCAGAAATGAGGATATCCGCAGTAAAACCAGAGTGACCGACATAGCCCAACGGATTAGTAAGCTGAAGTGGCAATGGGCCGGCCATATAGCTCGAAGAACCGATAACCGATGGGGAAGAAAGGTTCTCGAGTGGCAGCCTCGTACCGGTAGGCGTAGTGTAGGGCGACCCCCCACTAGATGGAGTGACGACCTGGTAAGACATGCAGGAAGTCGATGGATGCAGGTGGCTCAGGACCGTGCTTTGTGGCATTACTTGGGGGAGGCCTATGTTCAGCAGTGGACTTGTGAAGGGCTGTAATGATGATGATGATGATGATAATTTTGAACTTCCGTCCATACAGATACTGTCGAAAATGTTTTATTGCACGTACTACCGCCAAGGTCTCCAGCTCGTACGACTGATATCTGCTTTCAGTGTCAGTAGTCCTCATACTCATACAGGCGACTGCATGTTGACGTTTGTTGATTATCTGTACTAGTACGGCACCAAATCCCAAGCTACTAGCATCCGTGTATAATTCTATCGGTGCTTCTTCCTGAAATATTGTTAACACAGGAGATGATGTCAAACATTGGATTATCTTATTACGTGCTTCTTCGTGTTGATCATTCCACTCCCACTTAGCACCTTGTTTAGTCAACTCAAACAAGGGTATCATTATACGGGAATAGTCGGGGATAAATTTCCGAAAATATCCAGCTAAACCATTGAACCGTCTTACTTTTTTAGCAGTATTCGGTACTTTGAATAAAACTATTATTTACGGATTTTATCGCGTTTAATTACTTTAATTTATTTTTATTATTATCCCGACGTTTCGGGTGCTTTACAGCGCCCATGGTCACGGGGGGGACTGAGATGTTTGACGTCCCAATGTCATAGTTAGTCCGGCTACCTTCAGTTTTTTAATATTAATTTTTGGTTCGATTTACGCAAAACGAGCTTATAGTATCATGAAGTCTTGCAGTGGTATGCTTGGGTTTGGGTTTAATTTTGTTAATTATAGGATCCCAAGCAGATGGTAGCACCCAACCATCTTCTCTATTGAAATTTGGATGTTTTTTAATTTCAATAGCCTCGCGTATCATCCTTGGTAGGAATCAGTGTTCTTTTGCGAGAATTTGTGGTTTATCAAATCTAATGTAATGGTGGGGACGATCTTGAACATGTTCGCAGACTGCAGACTTCCCGGAGCGTCGGTGCTTCACATCAGCTAAATGTTCCTTCACGCGGGTTTTTATAGATCGAGTATTCGGTACTGGTGACTTGACTAGAGCTTCAACTTTCTTTGGGCTTGGACGGATTTGACCATTAGAAACAACGTAACCCAAATATTCTATTGAGCGTTTGAAGAAGCTGCACTTATCTGCATTAATAGAAAACCCAGCCTTCTGTAATGCTATGAGAATGCGTTCAATGTTTACTAGCCCTTAAGCAAAATCAGCACTTTTGCTCAAAACATCGTCGACGTAAACTTGAGCAGCACTTTTTAGTAACGAAAACAATGCCCTATTAATACACCTTTGGTACACTGCACATGCATTGGATAAACCAAATGGCATAGTAAGGTATTCATGTAACCAATCAGGTGTAACAAATGCAGTCTTCTCTATGGAATTCTCCGAAATAGGTATCTGATGGAAACCTGCCGCCATATGAAATGTTGGCCAGTTGATCGATCTGGTCGGAGATGAGTGGGAGTGGGTAATGGTCCCGCAATGTATTGGCATTTAATTTGCGAAAGTCTACACAAAGACGTCATCTCCATTCTTCTTTTTTTACCAAAATAATAGGGCTCGAGTATGGCGATTTGCTCTCACGTATAATGTTGTGCTTCAGTAATTCGTTAACAATGCTACGAACCTTTTCCCTCTCCAGTGGGCTGAGGCGGTATGGTCTTCGTTCAACGTATTTATCCGGGCTCTTCAATCCGATTTCTAACATACCTGTATTAACTCGGGTTTTAGGGTATCCTCGAATAAATAGGTGTTCAAATTTATTAAAGAGTATGCGAAGTTGTTTGATCTCTTCAGGGTTGGAAAGATCACAGTCTAGTTTTTCAAAAATTGGATTATTTGTGATACGATTGACAAACCCTTGGTGTACTAATTTTGTTTCGCTAGACGTGACTATAACACTCAAGTTTGTGCCTCGAATAAAGTTCATGCCCACCAATATGTCTTGTCGACATCTCACAGTCAGGCAGAATATAAAATTGAATTTCAACGCCGATATTATCTATGACACATATAGTCAGTAAGCTCGTGAGTGACAGTACGGGAAATCGTCCAATACCTCTCAAGTAGTTAGCTGTTTGAACCTTTGTCCAGGCAGAGCTGCGGCTACAGATTCCCGTATAAATGATATTCTGCACCACTGTCGAACACTGCCCTTAAAGATTTTATTCCTATCCCGATAGTTAATGGGGCGAGTTTTGCACCTTCAATGTGATTTACATTTGATGTCAAAGAACGATCACGTTTAAAGCATTGGTCGTAAGTATGTCCTAATTTTTAACAAAATGTGCAGGTAGACTTACTATCACTTTCACTTCTTTTACTAAATTGTTCCTGTCTCGATGCTGTTGGTTTGAAACGACATTCATCGGCAGAATGATTTTTCCTTTTACAGATGCGACAGAATGATGGAGCGTAAGCATGATTATTGCTTGATAACCGGGGACGTTTGTGTGGCATTGTCATACTACTATTTGATGGATGAACGCGCTTTAATCGTATTGAGGATGCAATAGATATAAGTTCTGGCACTGTTGTTGCGCGTGCGTTTAATAGTTCAATCCGTAGATGTTCATCACTAATGCAACCTATGACGGCCTCAACCGCATCTTCATTCATTCATTCATTCTTCAATTTATCCTTGGTAACTCGTCTCCATAGTACCCACGCTCTCGATAAGAATTCCGCTATATCCTTTGATGAATCAAAAACATGTTCCCTGAATCTTAATATGTCTCAAGAATACCTGTTTTCTGGTTCAAATGTAGTTATAAGTTTGTTGCGTAGTTCTTCCCAAGTAGATGTAGTTATCATCCAATCATCGACCCACATTTTAGCGCGTCCTTTCAACAAACTGCCAACCCTCATGCGTATATCAAAATCATTGAGGTTGTACGTTTGAATTGCTTTATTAATACGTTGACACCACTCACGTACTCCAACGTTAGTATCTGGATCAAATGAAGGTAGGTAAATATCATTGATTCTTACCTTTGTTTCCGATGGAGTATTCAGTCTATCCGACATATTTTGCATCATATGCATCATCTGCATAAAAAAATGTGATGGTACATTAATCGTTGAAGTGTTATCACTCCGATTCTGTTGCATTGTTTCAGTGTTAGATGACATCGATGGTTGTTCAATAGCAGATGGTTGAGCAGAAGTGGAAGAGCGTTGTTCACATCCCACTTCTGATGACGGAATATTTGCACCAGAAGTATTTTTTAAAACTATGACGTCATCATTGATGACGTCATTATTGAGATTTCTAGTTTCACTCATTATTGTTTTCTTTAATAATAAGAATCACTTATTTACTTTTAACTGATTTTACTAATCACAACTAATAGTTACTCACAATCTACAATTACACGCTATTGTTCACAATTTATAGTTCGCGAATTCAACTAACAGTCCGAACAGCACGACAGCTCGAGCAAGAATGAATCCTGCCCCAGCCGTCGCGCGCCTTTTAAACTGAATGCGAGCGCAAGCCATCCCCACTTCCTGGGCTTTGAGAATGATTACCTTCAAATTGTTATAGCGATAACCCGCATTTAATGATATTGTGAATTAAGCATTTTAAATTATTTATCTGGTAACAATAATTAACTAATTATAAAAATAAAGACACATGCTATAAAAATCAGCTTATAACGTTATTTCAGAAGTTCAAATAACGTCTATTGATTTTTAAATGAATAATAATTGTTTAAGTAATGCGCCGATACGTAGCTTATACTTTGTTGCGCCGATATATATATATATATATATATTAAAAAAAAAAAAAAAAAAAATATTAATTAAGCGGTTAATGAATTTTTAGCCGTAACGAAACTCTTGCTCTGACATCATTATAGTAACAACTTATGTGGCGTGTTGACTCGCCGCGTTCCACAACAATGCAATCTGACCACTTTATCACGTTTTTTGTACTATAAACTAATTTACTGCCAATTTTCAATTATTACAAAACTCTAATAGAGCATGTTGTAACGTTCCATCATCAAAGCTTGCTGCTGCCACGTGTTTCACTACCTGACCTTGCGAGTGTTGCTGACTCTTGTGCATCTTCAATAGTAAATCATATAGAATTATTGGCTGTTACAAAACTCTTGCCGGCTTTTGTCACCAGTTCTCCTACTATTAGGTAACTTACATTTTGCAGGCAAATCATATGCACTTGTTACTTTAGCCTCTCCTGTGGGACACCCTCCTAGAGAATTACACTCGTCCTGTAACAAGAGCAAGAATGCATATCACTAATCTTATATATTTATTTTAAAAAACATCCAATCCATCTTACCTTTTACCTACAGGTGTCAAACTAATTTGCCAGAGAAAAAACTCTTCGGTAGTATATATACCGAATAACCCATACTACCGAATAGTTTTTTCTCTGGCACATTGGTTTGATCGACCATAGAGGTACACAAAATTTATATATATATATATATATATATATATATATATACTGTTTTATCGACTGAATATGGAAGTCATGAGATTGGCACAAATGTATAAAAGTACCTAGTGGTTTCTCATAAATGTCACTAGCAAAAATCTATAAAACTATACTTTAATTTGACTGACAAACAACTTTGACACCCATATTGAGTGAGCTACTTTTGAAGTAAACTAATGGAGGACAGTGAGTGCTGTGTGTTTTGTATTTTGGTCAGTATCGTTAGAATTTTAGGTGTTCCGTGTACGTATAGAAACTTTTTAACTATTTTCGGTAAGTACTAAGTTTTTTTATCACAATTGCAATGTAAGTTACTTCGCGTGAAGTGTAAACATTTTCCTGTTTCTTTGTTTTAGATACCAGCTTCGTCAAAAATAGTTCTATTGAAACACAACAATGTCTTCTAGTGACGACGACGATAGAAATGTAGTTAATGTCTATAATTTAATTTTGACCGATGAAGCAATTGTCGATACTCTTGCTGCTTTAGACCACGACGAGGTGAATTATAATTCTGATTCAGGTAGAGAATATGAATTAGATGAGCCAATCATAACCAATGATTCAGACCAGTCTGATTCTGACGAAGATGAGATAAACCCTGCACGTTTTCAATTTGGTCGACCAAGAATTGTACCGGGTTGGAGCAATGATGACTATTTTTCGACCAACACACATTCTACCAACCTCACAGAATACCGGCGTGAAGTGGAAGCTCTGCTTCCGCGTTTCGTCTGGTGAGTGCTGGTGACCGGAGGCCCAATCCCTCCCCCCCCATCAACATGGTAGCGGAATTAAATGTTAATACTACCCCAGGTGGGTACCAGCACCCCTGGAGAATCCCTCGCCGAGCACCCACGACCAAGTTACTCCACTCCTGAGCGTGGGTGCTCAGGCTGCCCCGCGTATTCTGGGGGGGGGGGGCAAAATTTCGCACAAGACTACAACTCCTTGGGGCAAACAGAGCAACAAGACCAAGGCGACCCCTGCCACGTTATCCGTGAATTTCTGCAATATCAGGGGACTTCACTCTAACTAAACGCCGTCTACTACCATCTCGAGACGGCGAGGCCGGCTCTGCTCTTTCTCACCGAGACGCAGGTGTCCTCTCCGGCTAATGTCTCGTATCACTCCTGCCCGGGGTAAAAACAGCTTTCTTGCAGATCGGAGCATCAAGGTCGTTGTAGACAGTGCAAGCTCCGATTACAAGCCTATTAATGCTGGTGTTCCACAAGGCTGCATGCTATCGCTAACGCTGTTTCTTCTGCATATCAATGATATGTTGCAAACCCGTAACATTCATTGCTATGCAGATGACAGCACTGATGATGATCTGTACACCGGCCGTGCCAATATTTCTCGGGAAAACGTCTCCGAGTACCGGGACAAACTCGTGTCTGAAGTCGAGTCTTTGCTGAACAAAGTCTCGGATTGTGGTGACTAAATCTAGTCCAGTGTAACCCTCGAAGACACAAGTTTGCGCGTTAACTGCTAAAAAGAACCCCTTTGTCGTATCTCCTCAGTTTCAAGGCACTTCCCTTGTTGCTTCAGCCAGTATCGGAATCCTCGGCGTCAACATATCGAGTGACGTGCAGTTTCATGGTCACTTGGAAGAGAAGGCTAAATTGGCCTTTAAAAAGATTGTCGTGCTCAGCAGTGCGGGACAGTATTTCATGTCAGCACACCGCTTGCAACTTCACAAGGCGCAGGTTCGGCCGCACTTGGAATACTGTTGCCATCTTTGGGCTGGGGTTCCCCAGTGTCAGCTCCTTCCACTTGACCACAACCAGCGCAGAGCGGCTCGAATCGTCGACGACCGAGTGCTTTCCGATCGGCTCGATTCACTGGCCCTACGAAGAGATGTTGCATCTCTTTGCATTTTCTTTCGCATATACCACGGGGAGTGCTCTGAGGAATTGTTCGGATTAATCCCAGCCGCTAAATTTCGTGAACGCATTACGCAGCAAACATCCCGATACCATCCATACCATCTGGATGTTTCGCGGTCCACCACTGTACGTTCCACAAGGAGTTTTCTTCCGCGTACGACCTCTCTGTGGAATAGTTTACCACCGGCGATTTTTCCGGTCCGATACGACCTAGGGACTTTCAAGAAAAGTGCCTACTCCTTTCTAAAGGGCCGGCAACGCACCTGCAATTTCCCTGATGTTGCGGTTGATCATAGGCGGCGATAGTCACTTAACATCAGGTGAGCCGCATGGTCGTTTGCCCCCTCTTCTATATAAAAAAAAAACCAAACATAATTTTGATGAAAGTAATAGTGGTTCTTAGTCTCACTTTTCGATCAATTCCAGGAAAAGTGCTTGAACATTTCATGAACCCTGATTTAATTGAAAGATTTTGTGAATATACTTACTACGAAATAATAATGGGAACAGCCACTCCAAGAAGACACAAAAAAGCTGCTCCATTCCCTTAATAGGCATATGCAGCCGGTGATAAAAGCAAGAGGAGAAAACACCCCATATTAGAGTAAGGTTAACATTTTTTTAAATGTCAAAAAATATAAATATCGATCTTTACAGTGAAATCGTAAGTTTTGTAAAATGTTATGGTTTCAATGTCTCATCTCATTTGTATGTAAAATATTCCGTTTCACGGGCCGTTTTCTGTTTGTGTGTGAAGCAGAGGAGTACATACACTGGGTATGTAATATTATTTACAAACATTTAGAATTATAATTTATTTGTATCCTAAAATAACATTTTCAATATATTTTACATGCCTCCAGGCGGAAACAACGTTGTATGCTTGCAGTTGCAGTTACAAGAACTGAAAAAAGTTATTTTCACAGCGTCGGCACAGTCTATAAATTGATAGTCGTTCAACGAAGATGTTTAAAGTCGTATTTTTAATTAAAATAAGCTGCCTGGCGTTTACTGGCGTTTACTGGGTTGTCAGGTGTTGATGAATCAAAAATAGTGTTGTGACTAAATGAAAAAAACAAAATGACTGATAAAGAAAATAACTGAATGGTAATTTTTTTTACATCTTTCATTTTGAAGGTCTTATTGTTCCTTGCAATATATTCTTGAACTGCGCCCAAATCAGCTCAATGGCATTGAATTCACAATGGTAAGGGAGCAAATGTAAAACAGTGACTCCACGCTCCGCTGCCATCTCTTCCACGGCATACTTGTCGCAGTGTTCATGTTTGTGCTGCCATACAATGTCTATAAGAGTAGCTTTTACCATTTGTGCCTCGAATGGGATATTTTTTGCTCGCCATCCACTCTTGTATTCTTGGTTTATTCCAAGACATTGTAGTCAGCGATTCTAACTTTCTGGAGTGATATTATATCATTATCCATCACCACTACGGAATTAGGTTTTAGTTTGGGCAATACCCCACTAAACCACTTATGTATTTGTAGACATAGCGTATAAGCTTTTCGGTAATGCTAAGAGAAGCCCGTGGTCTCTTCTTTTTTGGGGAAAAAGTGCTTTTACTCGACGTGCTTGGTTGAGGTTCCATACCGTTTGCACGAAACAATATAAAAACACAATAACTCAACAATAACAAACAACACAAACAAAACGTAACAAAAAACTTAACAAGAAACTAAAGAAAAGCGACAAGAGAACAGCGCGCAGAGAAAGATAAGATAAGAAAGATATGATGATAGTATTAAATTATTATTCTTACTAACAATATTTTTTTTGTTTATTTCAATGATATAACATTCATCAACAAGTTTCACAATGTCAATCAAGATTCAATTCAATTGTCAATCAATTTAATTTTAATCATAATCATCAATTTATCCTATACTGACTGTCTCAACAACACATTACTATTACAATGAACCTGGCAACATTATTTCACAAAGTGATTAGCATCTGTCAGCCAGCTTGGTATAATTAAAAATTCGACGACGACAGCAATCGTGCGGGGCGTGAGGAACGAGACGCGGGACGGACGAGCCCGAGCTGCTTATGCCACTCTTATTACATTAACATACATATACAAGTACACTGATTCATGCACTGCAAATGTAACTTTGTAATTCTATATATTTATATGGGATTACAAAGTTATTTATGCAGTTGGTGTATCTAGAAAACTGGACCGAAATTAAAAAATGTTTTAGTTTTTCCTTGATTTATACACTAAACACTAATTGTATTCTAAATTTGAAGCTTCTATGTCTGCTAGAAGTGCCTTAGAGTTTTGATGATCGGTCAGTCAGTGAGTGACAAAATTAAAAAACTTTGATTAGTTATAATTCCTAAAGTACTGGTTCAACTTGATATATGTTTATACAATTCCTACTAGGTTACTGAAAATTCAGGATTCTAGTTTTAACCACTATGAAGTTATAGGGGGTCGAAAATGGCCTGAATTGCTTCGAGAAAAGTATGGTACAGCCGTGCCGCTTTTAGCTCGACTTGGCGGGGACACTGCCGTGCCCCCAGATATATTAAAGATAGGCCAAACTAAAAATACCCTTAATCACCGAGCATATATGTGTAGGCATAAGGATAAAAAGGAGGTGAGAGATGTGTGTCAGAATTGTGATAAATTCAAGTCGGTAGTCTCTCTCTACCGCTCTGGGTGATAGATGTGAGTGGGTTTTTTTTAACCTACAGTACAGCTTGACAGCATTTCTTGAATTTTTTGGTCCTTATCATGCCTCTTAAAAAGCTGCTTACATACACTTCACAACAGTAATATTCACTTTACATCTGCTCCTAAACAGAAAGTCCATCAGGTGAATTATTACTTAGTGTATGAAAGCTATGAGCTTAAAATTCTTAGATAGAGAGAACAATAAAATACTTAGCTAGAGATGCAGAGGATTTCACACACTTCATTTCACAGTTGTGACTGCTACCAAAGTAGATTCACATTTGCATTAAATAAAAAACCACCAAAAGTGAAACAAAATCAATTTTTTGTGATTATAAACAGTTATCAATCTTATATAAATATTTATCAATACACTCATTTGCTCAAATGAGAAAAATGTTGGATTATAATTTACAAATAATTGTTATTATTGGTAATTAATAACCTTTATTAATAAATCTTTTTGGCATTCTTAGGGTGAGGCCTATGTTGATCAGTAGCATTGTGAAGAGCTGTAATGACGATGATGATGGGTAGATAAAGATAATTAACCCATCAATCCACAGCTAAAACGATTCACATTACCCGTGCCGTTTAAAAAATGGCGCTGCTAATACCATCATAATATACAATAAATGTATACTCTGCAATGAGATCATATTATATCATTCTGTAAACGACAATTTACTAATTGATAAACATATTTTCAGCTTAATTATCAAATCTAATGTTTTTATCAAAACAATATGCTTCTTATACATGATAAAAATTTGCAAACTATTTCGTGGGCTTGATTTTAATAAAAACAATAAACAAGGATCTAAGCAATCTAAAAATGTTAAAAATTCCACAAAATACTTCAAGATATTTATAATAAAACCACATGAAAATATACCTAATGAAGGAATAGAAAATATCCAAAACTCAACACATAACCACATGAAAATGGTACAAATTAACAGTAGAATAAAAATGAAAATCCATAGACTAAGTGACTTTTGCTTGGACTACAGGATAGAGAATTTCGTATTTATTTAATAAACCAAACTTCTTCATAAATTTTTATGGTTTAAAGTGCTGTGGGTGGGTGTGGTCACTTGAGACCTCTCGGGATTTGATGAAATATGACTGCGGTCGCATGCAACTGCCATAGGATTGAGGAGTTAAGGTATTTTGAATTAAATGAGATGATATTTTAAGTTAAACCTGTAACAATGGTCCCGCTCCACGGTGAATAGCCCCATCAACTCCTCCTCCGGCTTTGAGTCGAGAATTGGCAGCATTTACTATGGCATCAATCTAAAAACAATATAAACATTACAATATTGGCACAAAAAATTGTCTTCTATTTATTCAGGCTACCTTTATGAAGGTTACTTTAATAATAACAATTTATTAGTCTTTGTTTCACAAATTACACTTCTGTAATTTATATTACAAAGCTACATTTAAAAGAAGTTAGCATTAACAATGAATTGACTATGATGTGTTAAGTTTAGCCTTCTATTTACTTGAAAATATAATTAACACTACCTCCAACTTTGTAATGTCCCCTTTAAAAATAGAAACTTTTTCAGCAAGTGAGACATTCTTTTCGGGGTTTATTTTAATTTTTTTCAATTCATTAAGATCATCCTGGGTGCGAATTTTGGTCTTTATATGCTCATTTTCCTTTGCATGCTTAGTCCAAGTATAAATATCATCCAAAGTTATGTATTCACTTGTTCTGTACAGCTTTCTTTTTTCTTCTAATGGTAAATTTAAAATCCGATTTTTCTCAATTTTCCATTTAGCTTGGGTAGTCATTTTGACTAAGGAATAACACCGACGTAATTTAAAATCGATAATCCACGAGTAAAACTGTAAATGGTTGATATTTTTACAAAATTGTGCGCAATTAGAAGCCGGCGTCAACAACATTTCCTTTTTTTCGACTTTGACGTTTGACTTTGATGTTTGAAGTTTCGTTCGGTATCATGGTATCATCACAGAATAAAAAAAATGCTACGGTATCATTCAACAAACAAATAACCTACATATTACCTTACCTTATGCCCCTTTTACACCACCCTGAATCAGGGCCCTGAATGAAGGGTGGGCCTGGCCCCTAATTAGGGACGTCAGTTATTACACTACCCTGATTTTACGCCCTTACTCAGTCATAGGGATGGACAAGTGAAAAAAGTATATAATATTTACTTTATAAGTATATAATATATTATATTTTTAAAGTTATTGTAACAATATATATATATATATATATATATATATATATATATATAACATATATACATATATCTGTACACATCATCGTTGGAGCCACACGCAAGTGTGAGTAACGATCCAAGAGCAAGTCTTATCCGACACTATTCCGATGATATCCCGGACGTCAGTCTAAGCGAGATTAGAATGCCTCTCCAGCACCTTAAAAACGGCAGGGCCCCAGGCGAGGATGGAATTACAGCGGAGCTTCTGAAAGCGGGTGGAACACCGGTACTTGAAGTCCTTCAGAAGCTCTTCAATTCCGTCCTCCATGGTGGCACTACTCCAGAGGCGTGGAGCAGAAGTGCGGTGGTCTTGTTCTTTAAGAAAGGCGACAACGCTCTCTTGAAGAACTACAGACCGATTTCCCTTCTGAGCCGCGTCTACGTGCTGTTTTCGAGAGTCATTACGAATCGTCTCGCACGCAGACTCGACGACTTCCAGCCTCCCGAACAAGCCGGTTTCCGAAAAGGCTTCAGTACCATAGACCACATACATACCCTGCGGCAGATTGTACAGAAGACTGAAGAGTACAATCTACCACATTTCCTGGCGTATGTGGACTATGAGAAAGCCTTTGATTCCGTCGAAATTTGGGCGGTGCTAAAGTCTCTTCAGCGGTGCCAAGTTGACTGTCGGTGTATCGAAGTGCTGAAGTGTTTGTACAGTAGGGCTACGATGGCTATCCGAGTACAGAACCAGAGCTCGAAACCTATCCAAATGCAGAGAGGTGTAAGACAGGGTGATGTTATATCCCCGAAACTCTTCACCGCTGCGTTGGAAGACGTTTTCAAGCTACTGGACTGGAAAGGATACAGTATTAATATCAATGGCGAGTACATCACTCACCTTCGATTTGCCGACGATATAGTCCTTACGGCAGAATCGCTGGAGGACCTTAGCACTATGCTCAATGACCTCAATGGTGACTCCCAACGAATAGGTCTTAAGATGTAACATGGACAAAACAAAGATCATGTTTAATGTCCATGTCACACCTATGCCGGTAGTTGTTGGGAGCACTATGCTCGAAGTTGTTGACGAGTACGTTTACCTGGGACAAATAGTCCGACTAGGTAAGTCCAACTTCGACCGAGAGGTCAATCGACGGATTCAACTCGGCTGGGCAGCGTTCGGGAAATTACGACATATCTTCTCGTCAGGTATACCTCAATCTCTAAAAACTAGATTGTACAACCAGTGCGTGTTGCCAGTGATGACTTACGGATCTGAGACGTGGTCCTTCACTGCTGGCCGTATGAGGACGCTCAAGGTCGCTCATCGAGCTATGGAGAGGGCTATGCTCGGAGTTTCTCTGCGTGATAGACTCAGAAATGAGGATATCCGCAGTAAAACCAGAGTGACCGACATAGCCTAACGGATTAGTAAGCTGAAGTTGCAATGATCCGGCCATATAGCACGAAGAAACGATAACCGATGGGGAAGAAAGGTTCTCGAGTGGCAGCCTCGTACCGGTAGGCGTACTGTAGGACGACCCCCCACTAAGTGGAGTGACGACCTGGTAAGATATGCAGGAAGTCGACGGATGCAGGTGGCTCAGGACCGTGCTTTGTGGCATTACTTGGGGGAGGCCTATGTTCAGCAGTGGACTTGTGAAGGGCTGTAATGATGATGATATGATATATATATTAATATATATATATATATAAATGTTCCGAAGTACTAGCTGGCGAATTTCTGTGTTTCGCCCTGCTAACTCTAGTTGCGTAACTCGAGCTTAGTTCGAGTTGTGTTAATTTGAACTTGAGAAAACTCGAGTCGTAATTTTTCCAAGTAAGCACATCTATAGGATGTAACATAGCTTATTAAAAACATCAAAGCTTATGTACGATATATCGATTTTTTCGATGTTTTTATCATCACTTAAAAAGATATGTATATATACATAAGGAATAAATAATCATTTTGAACAGAAATTAAACAAAGAAGTATAATAATCAAACATTATGTTTATGTTATTTCAGGAAGTTTTACACGATTTATTTTTACACATTTAAATTTATCGAATAATTATCAGAAAACAAGATTTAATTTAATATTTTTTTACTTTTACGTTTATTTCTTTCGAATTGAATCTTAAAATATCAATTTTGACAACCTGGCGCCTAGTAAGCAGTTTCTCCTGGGTGATTGTAGATCCAGCCTCTGAAAATAACCGCTCACGGGATACCGAAGTTGCCACGATAGGCAAATAGATCTTAGATAGGCTATGAAGCCCGGGAAAAAACCCTTACATGCCATCCCTCATCTCCAACGCATTTAATGTATGAAACTCTTCTTCTGCTTTAGTTTTATTTCTTATGTTTTTGTGCGTTACTTCTTTAATGGTAGTTCCATATGTCACCTTCAATATTATCGTATTTTCTGAACACAGCTACCAAACTATACCGAATTACAAACAGCTGTATAACCGTTCATCCATCGAAATCAATATTTCAGAAAAGTGAATTTTGCATCGAAAATGAAATTGCCGATTGAAGACAATTGCACTTCTGTAATTCTATTATATTTATTTTTGGCTGAAAGACCATTCGCCTGTTTGTTTATTCCTAATTAAAATTTTCTGGGTTAAGTTATTTCTACTAAATAAACCTTCCAACTTTAAAAATTTAGACGCTATCTAACTTTGACATATTATTTTCCAATTTTTATTTTTCGACAACATAAAATTTGTAATAATCTTCGCAACTTTTAACATACGGAATTTTATACCTTCGAATAGTTGGTTATATCGTAACCTTTGACGGAAAGCCAAAACATCGTTCATAAAACATCGCTCCACAATCATCTTTATGAACAACTATGTTTATAAACGATATATCGATGTTTGATATAATTGATGTATCGTTTGCGTCCCTAGTCGCGCATCGAATAAGTGCCATAACTCCCTAAGCGTTATTATACTGCACGATGGAAGGGCACTGCAGACTGAGTCGACTTTGACGTCCTAATTAGGGACCCTAACTCCCTTTCTCTTATTACGCCACCCTGAATCAGGGCGTAGGCACCCTGATTCAGGGTAGTGTAATAGGGGTATCAGGTATATTCAAATTGAAAACCGTCAAACATGGAGTATAAAGATAAGGAGAACAATCTCCCATAGAAGAATATAGTGCGCGCAAGATAAGCCTGCGCGTGATTGGTGGCGTACGTGGTGTTGCCATCTTAACTAATATTATTTCCTTCATCTTATTACTAGAATTATATAATGATAAATTTATTACATAAATGACCGAATTGATTCGATAAAACTTACAAAGATCTAATAATTTTTTAAACCCTATATTTCTTGCGTTGACCCCCGTAATAAATATATTTCTTGAATGTAACTTTCGTAAGTTAGACATATATCTGGGGGCATGGCAGTGCCCCTGCCAAGTCGATCAAAAAAGCGGCACGGCCGTATCATTCTTTTCTCGAAGCGATTCAGGCCATTTTCGCCCCCCTATAACTTCGTTGTGGATAAAATTAACATAAACATAAACACTCACGCCTGTCACCCAGAGGGGTAGGCCGAGACTACAGACTTCCATTTGGCACAATACTGACACACCTCTCTCGCCTCCTTCACATCCATACACGTACGCATGCTCGTCGTTTAAGTGTACTCCCAATTTGGCCCGTTTTCAATAAATCGCCAATTTGGTCGATACATTTTCGCCTAGGACGTCCCTTTCCGACTCTGCCATTCACTTCTGCAACATATATTTTCTTTGTCACTCTTTCCTCATTCATTCTTTCCACATGACCAAACTACCGAAGCATTCCTTTCTTAATCCTGGTCACAACATCATCTTGCAAACCACACTCTTCTCTTATTACACAATTTCTTACCCTGTCGTTCAGATTCAGCCCTAGCATATAATCGCTTGATTCTACTCTCCTTCTTCTGCTACACCCAACTTTTAATACCATACGTTAAAGTAGGGACCAACACAGCATTGTGAATTGCCATGCGTGCCTTTTTTGACACATTTTGACTCTTCACAATAGAGTGCAGGGCCCCATTTACTCTATTTCCCGCATTCACTCGTTAGAAGCCTGAATTTTTAGTAACCTATCAGGAATTGTATAAACACCGTATATTTCAAATTTCATTTAATTTGAACAAGTAGGTTAAGAGTTATAACTAGTCAAAATTTCTTAATTTTGTCACTCACTGACTGACCGATCATCAAAACTCTAAGGCACTTCTACAATTAATTACAACAATTAGTGTTTAGTGCAGTGATGCACAGACTTATTAAGACTAGGCAGCACTCGGGCAAATTATGAACTGATGGCGGGCCGCCAGAAGTATAGGTAATTAAAGACAATAAAGAGTTGATAATAATGTATTAAAATTGAAAAATAATTTATTAATTTGAAGCGTGGCACTGCATAGTGCTTACAATCTTTTTTATATTTGGCTCAAATTTACTTGTAGCAACAAGTAAAACTGCTTCCAAACTTTCATTTGCAAGGCGGTTTCGATTTTTTGTTTTATTATTATTTAGTACTGAAAAGGTTTGTTCACATATATA